CACACTCGAATCAATACTGGGAACATGAACGGCACAGAAAAACCATGTGAAATGGGACTTTACCGACCGTGATGTCCTTAGGGATTCCAGAAAAGTCAAACTTTCTTCCATAAAGTTTCGATAATTTAAAAAGGACCACTAAATATTTCATCGACACCGACGGCGAAAGAGCACGCGTGGTAGCTTTTAACCATCGCTTCCAGAATTGTTCATTTCACGCTTTGCGCCCTCGATGACATCTTTGCTTTTTTTGCGTACTCGTGTTTGAAATTGAAGCCAATACATGCAACTTATTTGAACGCAACACCTTCTTTGAAACCAGATGAAACCAGATGTTCAATTGTTGCAGTGTTTGATTGGCAAAATTTTGGGGTGAGTTCGATAAGTTCCATTACCGAACCCAATCGAAGTCAATCAAACGATTGGCCTTCAATCGGGGTTCGATTACCGAACGTTCGATTGGCGACGCCGGGATACATTCACCATCCCCTTAAAGGTATCGTATAAATAAAAAAGGAATAAATGCGTAAATTCTCAAAACAAATGAATTAACTATTATACGTAATGATGGAATTATACATTTCAACCGCTAAGCCTCTTCGAAAAAGTAACCCCGTATGGCACTTACAGCTGCACTTCGTGTTTGCGATTACGTGAAAATCACTTGATGCTGGTAAAGCAGTTAGAAAACTTTAAAAAATTTTCCCTTTGCTGGAACCTTGCCATTGATGTCCTTGCGAACCACTTAAAAAAATAATCCGATACTGTGCTTCAGGATGTCCATACACGTAAGGAGAGGACTGTAGATGCAGCGTTTGGTCTCATTAACTCCCTTACCCGCAACAGAAGGGCGCTTTCCATCTCACCGATTCAAGGTACACTACAGTGCATTTTCACTGGATCTTAAAAAATTATCGTTACGAAAACAAAAATGTCAGATCAATAAATCAACTGTTTTTAGCAAGGAAAGCTCTAAGGGCACCCCTTTTGAAGTTAAAAGCTTGAGGTACAAAAAAGGCTTCATGCCCAGTTAAATACCGTAAATGATCGATTAAGCGCCACTACGTATACTCGAATAAGTGCCGCAGCGGTAATTTGGGTATTTACAAATTAACGCGCCACCTTTGTTACAGCGCTTGATATAAAGAGATATCAAAACCATATCGCTTGAGAAATAAGACCTCGACCAACTCGTGAGTTCTTAAGTTTCATTATGTCGAAACTTTTCAAACCTGGTTTACATAACAATTCTAGGTGTACATATTTTAAACTAAATTAAACATACCTATTACGTACGCGCCCTATTTAATACTCTCTATATTCCCCTCAGTGTTTTACCCGTAGTTGAAATGAGCCGCACCTATAACAAAAAATGACACGAAAAAATTAAATAAGCGCTGCAGCGCTTAATCAATCATTTACGGTATACCCTAAGCAACTTATATCTTGATAATTAAACATACCTTTATATAACATGTATAGAAGCAGAACGGTTCTGGCCAATGTGCAAGGACAGATGTCATTTAAAACAAAGCTGACTTGCTGGGTATAAACATCAGGTAACGAAGCAGTTGTAAGTAGAACATTCGTTGGATCACCAACTCCGCAAAGCAACAAAGCCAGTGAATTGGAATACTCTTCTCCTTCATTCATTGACAAATTGAGCAGGTCTACAGCTGGGATATTACCCCAGTAGTAAGTAGCTCCGAGGCCTGTGTTATCTTTTTTCATCTCATGAAGCGCCTTCATTCTTTGTGCTAATTTCAATGTTTTGTCAACAGCATCGTGGCAGAACGTTTTGTGTCTTTTCCAGTCGCTTCTCTGACACTCCGTGCTGCAATAACAGGCTTTCAAACAGTTGGTACACTTCATCAGTCCCTCTTGTTCAATATCGCACGCTGAACATTGCAATTTCAACGCTGCTGTCTCGCATTCGGGTTGATGTCGCCACTTGTCTTGTTTCTGACATTCCTTGGAGCAGTAATACGCCACTCTGCATCGCGAACACTGTTGAGTACAATTTGCCTCGCATCGCCAGCAATGGTTGGGTTTGTTCATGACCTTCGCTGCTATGTGTTGTCTCTGGAATATAAGGGAAATTATTAGGTTACCTCGTTGCAGAGCATTGAGTGAGCAACTGCCTTCAAAGATACTCGGGAATGCAAACAAACCTATACTTCCCGCCGGCAATGGTTATCTTTTATATCGTCTTACTGGGATCGTTTCCTCAAGATGAATCAGTTATTGGGCGTCTCAAATTACCCCATACTCCATAGACTAATTAGCAAGATGTAGTGACAAAGACATTTGTTGCCATTAAGGATAAAGAATACACTCAATCAGATAACTTACCTTGGTATATTTATCTTTTCCTTGAATTTTAAACTTACTAAAAATAATCTGGGAGATATCGTCTTCGCGTGACCGTTATATAGCAAACCAGCTGACACCTAACCAATACTCTTCTTCTTCAAGGCTTAGTGTGCACTTCTTTTCCTCCTCCATTCGCTCATATTCTCATCACTAATAACATGAGACATTACTAGATATGACGTTCAGTAGAAATGATGATGACGCATTTGCTACGCCACAAATGACTTGACACTCCTAGGTCAGATGTCAGTTGTAACAGGACACCATGACATCTGATATCAAGGCACCCACGTTACCGTAGTCATCAATGCAACAACGAATTGGGAACTAGAAAGACCAAAGCCCCACTATCCCTCCCCCCCCCCCACCCCACATTCCATGACAACATGTCTGATAAACATTTATCACAGGCACAGGGTCCGTTTGAGACTTTTTATAAGTCGAAGTCAAGAGGTAAGTAAGGGTGATAATTCACTTGACTGAACAAAAGGGATGTGGCACAACAAAAAAGAGAGAAAGAGATAAACGAGCTTTTTTATCGTTCTACACTCGGATTTCCGAGAATAGAGCGGGTTTTTCCAAGAACTTGAGTTGCAGCATACATTAACAGTGCAAGCAGACTCGAGTGGCAAAGCAATATTGGAGAAGCTATCACATACGAGTTTATTTACAACTGGAATAATGGCGGTTCTGTAACATTAAAAGCACAGACAAATTGCACTTCTCAAAAGTATTCGATTCGGATGAGCTTTGTCTTCTCATAGAGGGAAAACTGAGGCTAATCCCCGGTGTTCGGCCTGGTGATCTTAACCCATTCGCTCCTGGAGATTTTGCCGAAAAACGCGTTTTGAAGCTAGTCGAGTGGTTTTCTGGTCACTGTCGTGCTATAAAGAGCTAAAACTTACCACAAACCGGTTTACAGGTCGTACACTTCGCGGCCTTCTGATTCAGATGCAAAATATCAGCTTGCGAAGTTCGGGCATGCGCAGAAAGCAAAATTTCTGACTTTTACTTTTCGCTTTCTCTCCTCCCTTCTTTTTTCACTTTTCTTGCCTCATTTTTTTTTCTCTTGCTGGGCATTTAGTACGCTTCATTTTGGTGGGAATAGTTTTTAGGAAAGCTTTTAGGAACTTAGGATTAGGTGAAAGGAAAGGTAGGTGGGCAATGGAACAAGATTTTCATGGAGATTTTCAGGTCCATGTCACGTGGTTTTTTGCTTCTTTCTCCGGTGTCCTTGACTGAATTTTGCTCATTCTGGTATGGTTTGAAAGATCTCTTCACTCTGCACAAGTTAGTGAAGAAAGTTGTCCTTGACTGTTAAAACTGATGACGTCACAAAGGGTAGAAAGGACCAGGATCCGCACGGGCGGTTACGGGCGGTTCAGGGGCGAATGGGTTAAATACTGAGCTCCCGCAATCATGAATATATTTAAATCATCAAAAAGAGAGTCTTTCATGAAAGAGACTTGGAGTGATTGGTGAACGTTCTGCCATGAAAGTATATTTCCTTGGCTGTTACTAATCTAGGATGCTTTGTATTCCCCTTGTCGCACGATTCCATCGATCCCGACCAATACATCCTTCATCGTCGAAGAATTTCTCTGCCGTCCCAAACCAGGGATACTCCTTATAATGGCTTATATGGGAAAGCTCCTCCCAAAAAGTGGGACCTTGTTCTCGTTAAATTTCACCCGTTGAAGAGTATGAAAGATTACGGAAGTGTGTCATTTCGGTCTGTAAAGGACCCAAGAAAACTATCTGGTTATTCAAAAAGTGTTTTGTTCATAGACGGTGCATTTACAGCAGTTACATGGGATGCAGCGTTCTAAACTAGGTATATGACAGGGGGCTACCATTTGTGAATAAGAGGTATACCAACTAAAAGGGCACCTTTTCTGTCAAAAATGGTAAATAAAGAGGTTATCGGTTGGAGCTCCAGGTGGTGGATCCTCCCTCTATAAAACTTTGTTGAGTGCCCTCCCCCCCAGGGTACTAAGTACTTGGGTTACTTTGCATTGTTAAGCAACATGGCAGTCTTGTCCAACGGGGCACTAAAAGTAGATTGCCGTTGAATTGTCATGTTTTGATCGCAAGGCTGTGCTAATGAAGGGCAGAAATGTTCTGTAGTCACGCGGCGCGGCGATTGTAAACATAACACAGGTGACCTTATGAACCACTGAACAAATTAGCATATGTTAAGAAATTCTCAGAAAAGAGAATATATTGACGTCTCAGCGATCTGCTTCCGGGTTCATAGTGGTTCCTTCTCACAACAAGGATAGAAAATTTGCATTTAAATATACCGGGGCTTCCAAATCACATTAATCAAGGGTGATTCAGCACAGCAGCGTTGCGTAACGAACGAACTTGAAAAGACTCGATCACAAGTGAATTGTAAAGCCTCTTCTTTAATTACTGCGACACAGAAACAATATCGGTGTGCCATATTGAAATCGCATGAGATCCCGATCATGAATAGAATTGGTCATTGCTGGCGGTGCGAGGCAGTCTGCACTCAGCTGTGTTCGCGATGCAGAGTGGGGTATTACTGCTCCAAGAAATGTCAGAAACAAGACAAGTGACGACATCAACCCGACTGCGATGCAGCAGCGCTGAAAAAGCAGTGTATGGGATGTGGTAGAACAGATGAAGGCATGTTAAGATGCTCTACTTGTCTTAGATCATGGTATTGCGATAGAGATTGCCAGAGAAAGAACTGGGAAAGCCACAAGGAACAATGCCATGAAGTTGTAATAAAAACAATACAGGTGGCAAAGAGTATAAAAATGAACCTCATAAATGTTCGGCTGTTCCCTGGAATGGAACGTACTTACTACTGGGGTAATGTGCCTGCTGTAGACCTGCTTAACTTGCCGATGAATGAAGGCGACAAGTATTCGAACCCAATGGCTTTGTTGCTATGTGGAGTTTGTGATCCACGGAATGTTCTACTTACGATTGCTTCGTTACCTGATGTTTATACACAGCAAGTCAGTTTCGTTTTAAACGACATCTGTCCTTGTACCTTTGTACTTCTATACATATTTTACAAAGGTGAGATAAAAGACATTCCTTGAATAAAATGTAGCCTTTTCGACTGGAATATTTTCCTTTAATCATTCTTTGAATGCCAGAAGACTAGCAAATAACATTGAAAGATCTTGTTGCTTAAAACATAAACAAATGATAGCTTTTGTCTATTCTTGTCCACTTATACGTGAACTGTGTTAACTGTTCACTACATGTGCACTGCAAAAGATCATTTCGGTGGCTCGATACAGTTTCTTAGGGTCAATACCTGCCAAGTTTGAGCATAAATTACGTCGTCATTAACAAATATTTGGAAAAATGGCCACCACAGTTGTATTAGATAAAGATGACAATATGTTGTGATCAGGGTTGCAATGACATCGGAGTTGTCATAGCAACAAAATGACGCTATTACCTATTTTACTTGCAGGAGTATATCTCGGCACCGGGAACTGTTCTACCAAAATCGTTCACGAAAGTTGTTTACCCCAATAGCGATTGATGTTCGTCAAGTTTAAGCAAAATGTGTAAGAGCCTTGTCGAGATTTTTTGGGATGAAGGTTTTGGTTAGAAAAACATGCACGCTAAAAAATGGAAAATCTTGATATTTGGCCGTTATCTGTAGAAAACGAAGCGCTCTTGACGTGCAATATCACCTCACAGTAGTTCAATCTTTTTAAAAACGTGTGTGAAAGATCATGCAGATAGCTCCAGCCGATTGCTAGAAAGAGGGGTTTGATTAGTATGTATCGAAGCACTCTTGTTAGCGGTTTTGTTAACATTTTGGTCTTCTTTAACAGATTAGCGAATAATTTTTAAACCGCTCGATAGATTTTTTAAAAAATTTAAGATTCTTGAGGTTAACCTTCCTTTTATATTACCTTTTAGTTTCAAGATTATTGATATCTTGAAAGTCAGTAAAATAAGGGCTACAGTTCGTTAATTTTTCATCGGAAGTTTCGTCATTACAAGTGAAAGCCTCTCGTTATTAAAGGTATTTTCTCCAAGTTTCATTTTCACGTGAACAGCAGTAAATAACAATGAATTTGAAATATGCAAAAATACTAGCTATTGTTGTGCACGAAAAAATGAAACTTGGAGACAATACCGTGAATAATCAGAAGCTCTCACTTGTAAACACAAAATTACTGACAAAATATTAGCGAATTTACAGATTTCGCTTAAACTTGACGAACATCAAGGCCGCTATTGGAGGAAAAAGCTCCCGTGAACGATTTTGGAAGAACAGTTCCCAGTGCCGAGACATACTGCTGCAAGTAAAATAGGTAATAGCGTCGTTTCGTTGCTATGACAAATCCGATGTCATTGCAACCCTGATTATAACAAATGTCATTTTTATCTAGTACAACTGTGGTGGGCATTTTCCCAAATATTTGTTTAGTTTATGCTCAAACTCGGGAGGTATTGACCCCAAAACACTGTATCGAGCCACCTTAATAGACTTTTTTATCACGTAATGGTACCCATGAGAACTGTTTCTAGGTACATCCACGCCAATATGTATGCATAAATTATGGAGAGACAAAAGGCAAATTCCCTGGAAAACATTACGTGCTGTGAGTTGGGAAAACAAAACATACATGCTATGATGGTCTATTGATAAGAAAGTTTTTGCACATTTGAAAACGTTTGATTTCACAGAACGTATATTTAAGCAATATACCACACTTTCTATGGGTTTACCGGCGTGATAACCCACGCGGGATGTTGGGAGAACACGAGAAAAGCTTGTAAATCACGAGCCGAAGGCGAGTGATTTACAAGCTTTTCGAGTGTTCTCCCAACATCCCAAGTGGGTTATCACGCCGGTAAACCCATAGAAAGTGTGGTCTATTGCTTTTATAAAATAACTTTTA